GTCAATTTCCCTTATAGGATTGCCATGTTTAGAGTTGTTCTAAATTGGTTTTCTAATCTTTAGTGGAAAACAATTGGTACCGAACTAAGAGAATTTCTTAATGCCGGATAAATCCATTAAACTTAGTGGTGTTTTTAGCGTTTTCAATAAAGATGATTTTTTTCTATATCTCAGAAATTTTCATGTTCAAATCATTTTAGGGGGTTGAAACAAATTACGCATAAATAGATCTGAAGCATCTCTTGCACAAACGAAAACATAGGCAATAATCTCAAAAGAATGACAAGCTAGACCCTATGGATATTGTAAAATATATTGAGATGGACCTCACACCAAAATTACAACTATTGCAAATTCCTACATGTTGTAGTCGAACCTCTAGTTCGTTCACTTGTGTTGCCTTCCTCGTTTTCTTTTTCTCTGATGGTAGCGAGTTTGATGAAGAAGCTGTCTTATGCTCATGCAACGCCCCTACCTCTCTTGCAGCTTAAATATTGTTTCCGCGTTCCTCATTTTCTCTCTTCTATTGGATTCTTTAGATTGTTGATCTCTATTGTTCTTTCTTATGTTTTCCACAAGTTGTGGTTGGCCCCGGACAAAATTATCATTTGCGAATTCCCATTTCTCTGGGTCGACCTTTCTAAAACCCTACAAGAAAGGAAGATACAACGTTTAGAATAACAGAATTTATTGAGGACATTTTTTATTTCAAAACTATCATACAGTATATATAAGAAACTTACATATCTCTCAAGTTGAAAGAAGAATCTAAATACATGATGGGTCTTGAATAATCTTGGAAGAAGGTATCTATAAAACTCTTGTGGATTCCAAATGATGAAACTCTTTCCACTCTCGCTCCATGAGATCATTTCATCCGATGAGGGATCATCCACCATCTCGTATGCTTTGGTTAGATTAATAAAACTATATGATCAGGTTCATCTCTCCAAAACACTTCAACTCCTGTATCTTGCTTGCCACGAAAATAAACGCATCGCGTTTCCATCATTTGATATAGCGGATCCTGCTCCATGAGGTGAGGTTAGCCTCGCACAAAATAATCATTTGCGAATTCAAATTTTCCATAGTCGATTTTTCTAAACCTCTACCAAAAGAAGAAAAAAAGAAAAGAAGAGAAGGTTCAAAGTTTAAATTAGACAACAAAACTATCTAAATGATGACATCTTACAATACTAAACGTATATGAAATTTACGTGTAAGTCAAGTTTTGAGAGAAGAAATCTATTTGTTGTTGCCCTCGAAGAATTGTTGAAGAAGATCTCTGTGAAACAATTCTGGATTCCAATTTTC